ACTCTTAATTTTCTTATTCACGGAGAACTTATGTGGAATAGTAATTTTCTAAAACTGCTATAATTTGTTTGTCTCTTCAACTAGGATTATTATGTAGGACTCTGAGGTCAGAGAATACACAAAATGACAGGTCAGAGAATACACAAAATGACATAGTAATTTTCTAAAACTGCTATAATTTGTTTGTCTCTTCAACTAGGATTATTATGTAGGACTCTGAGGTCAGAGAATACACAAAATGACATTAACACATCAGTGGGAACTATACATAAACCAGAGTTTGCCGTTTTTGCAGCAGTTATTTCCCACCACTAAGGAGGCAAGAAGCTTTTCTATTTAAAAAGGGACCAAACTTTGTAATAGCAGATGGTCCCCATGAGCTTTTCTGCATACCATTCTTTTTAATTGCAGTCAGTCTATCAAAATAATAGCATCTCACATACCTGAGGCATGAAGCGGGGTTCGTTGTGTGATGTTATCTTTCACTGTGACAGAAGCACCCTGATTGATGAGCGCTTCGACACATTCCATGTGTCCTTTAAATGCAGCAAGGTCCAGGGCCGTACGTCCTTTTTCATCCTTAACATCCAGATCTACTAGTGACTGAAGCAGCACCTCCAACGCTTGATGATGACCATTATAGGCCTAGGAAATAGAATCAGATACTTAAGACCAGTGATTTTCAAACACTGAGAATACGTCAAGATTTCTTCTGGTATAATTACAAACTGGAGACTGAAGAAGTCTCATTAGGCTGATGAAACCTGTTTCACAAAGTATTTACCACATCAAGATAAACTATACTTTTCAGGGTTTTTCTCTGAAATTGCATTATTAAAAGATCATTAAAACTGGTACATAAACTAACCCTGTAGGGATTTTATCCTACTAAAAAGTAAATGAAAATAGAATAATAATTTTTGGAAATAAATAATATATGCATCCCAAGAGAAGAAAAGAATCTGACTTGGGGAACAAAAGTTACTTATTTATTTATAATTTTTTTTAAAAAAAAATGTTTTTATAATCCACACCAATCTGGAAAAAACCCTGGGATGCATACGACATCAAACAAAAAGAAAACAGAAAAATGGAATAATAATAAATAGTTAAAACCAAATACTATCAACAAGTAAAAATAACCACCAAAGCAAAGATAAAATCCCAAATAAAAGACAAGATAGATGCCACAGTAAGTCAGCTGGGTCTGGAAGCATACTGAAGGAAAAGTTTTCATCAGTTTACATAATCACAGCAAGATGGAAGCTGCACATACTTCTGGGGGGAGAGAATTTCATAAGGTGTTCTGTGTATGTATTTCTGTGCATGTGGTAATGAACATTTTGCAAAAAGAACTGCTCAAAACAGTTTGAGGGGAAGCTTAGCAATGGGCAAATTAATTGTAAACAACATATATAAACCAATGCATTTTAAACCTTTGAAAGTTTCTCAGTATTTTGTTTGATTTGTATTACTTGGCTATAATGTCTCCAGTTGTGGTTAATACACGGTAAGGACTTCCTTGTGTGACAAATCCCTATTTAGACTTAAGTAAAATTAGTGACATTTTTGGTTCTCATATTACATTGCAATTAATTATGTTACTACACTAATTACAGGCTCTATCCCTGAACTCCTTTATAAGTTTATGTTCCCAAACGTGAGAATCTTTTATTAGTACCGTAATGGTAAGTGCATCAACTCAGCTTATCAAAGTTTCAATGAAAAAGAATTTTCAAACAAATGTTAGCCACATTTGCTTATCTAACTGTAATTGATATGTGGAGCTGCAGTCAGACTGATGTCCTGAAATTAATTCTAAAGCACACAAAATTGCACTTAATATGAATATACCCTATATGAATAATTTGGACATAATAGAGAAATAAACTCTTACATGATTTTTGGATTTGTTATTCTAGCCAATAGTATAATATCTAGATCAGCCCCAAAATGCAGCTTAAATAAATCTGATCTCAACCCTTTCCCTATCTCTAAGAGGAGGCTTCTGTTTTAGAGAATGCTTAGCTTTGCAGTGGCAAAGTTTTAACCTGGGGATTTTTGGCTTTGACCCATGAATTTGGTTAGAGAGATTTGGGTATGCCTCAAAGAAAACAATTCTCATCATAAGTAATAATAAATTTTAGATAAGAAACAGAAGGCCATGTGATCTCATTAGAACAGTATTTCTCCTAACCTATACTTACAGCTAAATGCAAAGGACTTCTTGCTGCTGTTGAGTCTGATTCCTCAAAAATGTTATTTGTTTTCTCCAGAAGCTATAACAAACAAAAGAAATGAAACAATTTATACCTATGGTGAAAAAGTAATGCACATAACATGCATATTTAACACATGTCCTCTGAGTTAACAAGAAACACCAGAACTGTATGGAAAGGAAGTGACTTTCGTGAATTGTTCTTCTTCCCTAAATCTTTCCTATCTTCTAACTTGCTCCAAAACACTGGGGACTAACATCTGCGAAGCTGTATAGGGATTGCAAGGAATATGATAACAACAACATTTATATTGCACCTTTATTTATACAACTCAAGGCTGCATCCAGAATGCTCCCACCTCCTATTTCCCCCACAACAACAACCCTGTGAGGAGAGTGGGCTGAGAGTGACATGGCTTTCATGTCTAATGGAGGACTAGACCTCATGGTCTCCCAGTTTCTAGTCCAGCACCTTAAAGCTCTCAGTTATCTTAATTATCTTTTATTTAAATTTCTCACCTCTTTTTCCAAATCATACACCATCACCCAATCATGACATCTTCTGTCTTTCCCTTTCTCTTCACCCATTCAATTCCAGTCTCGTGCATTCTCTCTCTAACCAGAACATCTCAAAGCATTTCTTTTGTAGCGGTCACTCACTTTTGCTTTCAATCTACGTACATTCAGTCAGTCATACCTTCAGTCAAGGCTCTATGTTTTCTTGTTTTTTGCATTCAATTAGTTTTAAGTTTCTCCTGACATACCATGCCCATTTCAATCACTTCTAGAAAACAAGTCCTGCAGCACACTATTATACATAAAAGATCTTGCTTTTGACAAATATTCATTCCTCACAACAGACCACATGCCATCTTTATAGTACTTTTGATAATATGGATTTTTCTCTCATCTACAGCCTTTTTTACCCCATCAGACGTCTTTAAATTCTAATAACATGACTGTACACTTCTGTGGCACCCTCTATCACAATTCTTTTACTGCTATAAGAAGCTTCCACTTTGTCTTTCCTTACATCCACTTCCCATTCTTTCTGTTTAATCCATCTTCTAATATTTTTTGTACTATCCTTTCCTCTTCTTCCATGGCAATTTTTTCCGTTCTTGAAAGTACCAAAAAAAAAAAAAAAAGCTCTTATATTCAGAACCTCCCATCACATTTATATTCTTCATTAATTCTCTCAGTCTTTCATCATAAACAATAAAATAAATCATGTTTTTAGATTTACAATCATTCCTTTCCATTTGTATGTATGAAGTCTTATGCTTAAACCATGTATTTGAAACAGACCTTTTTCTAAGTGTATGCTCACCAGTCACCATTGTTATTAATTCTTGAGTTCCCAAATTGCATTCATTCAAAATGTTGTAAATTTTCCCCCAAACTCCTCTAATTGTTTCATTATCACCAACCTATGGATTCCTACTTCAAACACAACCATAACAACCTAGATGACATCAATTTATACTTTCTGACATGCGTTTTAGCCCTTTCATCACTCCACAAAGATGTATTCATCAAGTCTGCCCTACAAGATCAAATTACCTGCATTCACATCTATTACAACCTTTCCCTTACTCTTAGTTTCATAGATACTATTTATTTTTCTTTCATTTCACACATAATTCATACTCTTTGCCCTTTATTCCTCTTACATTGCAAATTACAATCATACACATACCATGGTTGTCACCAGCTGGACATCTGGTTTTCAAATACTTAGTATTTGTCAGTAAGATGTAGAAGGTGTAGACTAGGTTACCAGCCTTAGTTGTACCTGTGCCTCATGCAGAATTCTCTACTAACAGTAAGGATAATATTAGCACATTTAACACATTTTTTCCAGTATATCAGGAATTCAGTCAAAGCCCTGTTCATTCCAAGCACACTCACACTATTCTATTCAAGCTAGGAATTCTAATCTAGAGGCTACATACTGTTGCCTGCATGACACCAACTATAGTATATGCAGTGTACTGACACACAGAATGATAATTGGACTGAACATTTTGAGTGGAATGTTGACTGTTACTATGGTACATTTCTTTTCAATCTGTGTGACAGAGACAAGCTGCCACCTTCATCTGAAGGCAGATGCCATTGTCATTTAAACATTCTTTCAATGTGTTTCAGTTAAGATATCAAGAGAAACAGTCCTCAGCAGCAGCTGCAATAGATTTTATTAGATTTTGCCAGTGCATAGTATGAGTATACAGGTAGTCCTTGACTTATGACCATTCGTTTAATGACCATTCAAAGTTACAATGGCGCTGAAAAAAGTGATTTACGATCAGTCCTCACACTTATGACTGTTGTAGCATCCCCGCTGTCTTGTGATCAGAATTCAGGCACTTGGCAACCAGCATGTATTTATGATGGTTGCAGTGTCCTGGGGTCACGTGTGATGGAATGTGGCCTTGGAAGACGGGGAAAAGAGATGCTGCCTAGGGAACAATCAGATAAAAGAGAAAGGAGTCTGCAACAGGTTAACAGTCAAAGAAAGAAACTTAGGAAAGACCCACCCTAACTACTCAGGCAGTAAATAAGGAGGGTGGGAGATTTGTGCTTTTAGACTTGCAAGATTCTGTTAATGTAGCCTTACAATAAAATAGAATTAGTTCATCTAGTCTTGTTTCCTGTCTGGTTTACCTGGAAGGGCTGACATCAATCTTGCAAGTCTCCTTCTCTCTTCTAAAGAGGGGACTTTTGAGAATGGTCTCCAATTCTCAAGGAACCCCACTGTCCACAGAACATCCGGCAGCCACGTTGTTGCAGCACCAGCAGCAAGTGGACACAGAGATGACCAATTTACAGAATGCCATGCTACGACTAATGCAGCAACTGGGGCAGAATTTACCTCAACCCACAGCAGCGCAAGCAATGGCAGCCCAGCCAATGCTCTTGCGTTCCCATGGCAGCTTTCCAGAGAAGTTTGGAGGGGACCAGGATCAATTCTGGTCATTCATTGCTCAGTGTGAGATGTTAATGGCAGGCAAACCAGTGGAGTTTCCCACTGATCGTACCAAGGTATCTTTTGTGCTAAGCTTGCTAAAGGAAGCAGCTGCTAAGCGGGCAACACCATTTATTGAGGGAACAATCCAATGCTGGACACCTCTCAAGACTTCATGCATAAGCTCAAAGGACACTTTGGGGATCCCATACTGAGAATCACAGCTAGTCAAGAGATCCGAAAGCTCAAGCAGGGACAGAGAAGTGTAAGGGCATATATTTTGGACTTTAAATTACTTGCTGGCGATGTAGAGTGGAGTGACTTAGGCCTAATTTACCAGTTCAGGGAAGGGCTGAACAATGAACTAAGGAATGAGCTGATGAGACAAGGCAGTCCAAATAACCTGGATGGGCGATATCAGTGTTGTGTAATTATAGGTGCCCGACTGGAAGAGTTGAGGCAGGGAAGGAACGGGAGGGAGAAGACATCCTACAATCTGTCTTCCCCATACCACCCCTCCTGATGGCCGCCTCGGAATCCAGCATGGAAGAACCCATGCAAATTAATGTAGCCAAGAGATCCCTCTCATCAGGAGAGAAACAAAGGAGAAGGGATCAGGGGCTATACTTTTATTGTGGGACTCCAGGACACATAGCAAGATCATGCCCAATAAAAGCACCAGTGGCTGTTACAGCAATAAGATGCAAAACTTGTAAGCCAACAGAGCACGAATCCAGCAATTGCCCAGCACACTCTGAAACAGCACCCCACGGAAACTTCACCAGCCAGGAGCTCCACGGGGGGCCATCCACCGTTTGAGAAGAGCTCTGACAGCCAACAAAAGGCAACCATATCTGATTGCTCCTGTTAGGTGGGCACAATCTTTCTCCCACTTCGATTTTTACATCTCATACATCCCAGGTTCACAGAACGAACTTCCAGATACCCTCTCACGCAAACCAGAATGTGAGATTTCCCAGTCACCCCGCCCCCAGTAACAATACTGCAACCATGCAACTTTGAGTTGCACCGTAAATCAGACAACCACAAGAGGCTGGGAGCAGGAAGACAAGCTGTTGATCTCTTTGATTGGATTAGGACACATCAGCAGCAGGATGCACCAGCCAGGGCCTGGATGGATAACCTCTAGGGAGACCAGCAAGGTACCATTTTACCTCCACAGTGGAGGGAGGGCAGCTGTTCTACAATGGACAGTTGTATGTTCCTCTTTCTTTTTAGGGAGGAAGTATGACAGGTGTGCCACGACAACAAAACAATGGTGGGGGGTATTTATAACCCAACATAGACCTTTCAGAGAATTTTGGTGGCCGGGAGCCCAGTCTGACATTAATGATTATGTTTCCAATATCTTATTGGATTAAAATCCACACATGGTTGGAAAAAATGATAAAACAACATATAGACTTTAAACCAGAGATATTCCTATTAGGAATTATACCTGAAACATATAGTAAAGAACGCAGAGATGAGTAAATTAACATTTGAAATAGTTCTTTACTATATGTTTCAGGTATAATTCCTAATAGGAATATCTCTGGTTTAAAGTCTATATGTTGTTTTATCATTTTTTCCAACCATGTGTGGATTTTAATCCAATAAGATATTGGAAACATAATCATTAATGTCAGACTGGGCTCCCGGCCACCAAAATGCAGAGATGAGTAAATTAACATTTGAAATAGTTCTTTACTATATGTTTCAGGTATAATTCCTAATAGGAATATCTCTGGTTTAAAGTCTATATGTTGTTTTATCATTTTTTCCAACCATGTGTGGATTTTAATCCAATAAGATATTGGAAACATAATCATTAATGTCAGACTGGGCTCCCGGCCACCAAAATATGTTATTGTTTGTTTGTGTTTGTTGTAAAAAATAAAAAATTTATAAAAAAAAAAATGATTATGTTTCCTCTTGCCATGTCTGTTGTACAGCAAAGCCAGTCCCTGGTAAGCCAGTGGGACTGTTGCAAACTTCTTCGTAGCTATGGGACACTGTTTCTCTAGATTTCATCACTGATCTTCCTCCAGTGTGGGGATATACTACCATACTGGTAGTAGTGAATTTATTTA